CCCCAAAACCCCAAAACCCCAAAACCCCTCGAAGGTAAATAATTTAATTTATAAACAATTTGTAATTGCAAATATAAACAATCTCTAAATAATCTATATTCTTACAATGATTCAATAGTGAACTTAGTGAATCTCTTCATTAATATTTTCTTTGTCATTTTTATTATTTATCTTTTCCTGGTTATTCAGAATTTATTATATTACCTTTTTATTTCTGAGTTAATTAATTTCCATGAGAATCAAAAGCGAAAATATCTGGCTTGATTGTCCTCACTTTTTTCTTCACTACCTTATCTTTCTTTTTTGAAATTTTTGCTATTTATCCATTTATTACTTTTGTTCTTTTTATTTACTATAATGTTTTTTCAACTTGTTCTTCTTTTAGTTTAGCTTAAGCTTGTCTTTTATTGTCAATCAAATTTGATCTCATTACAGAATTTTATGATGAAATACTCGGATAGTCTTAATTATGCATATATTCAGGGTAGTAATTCAATTTTTGAGACTTAAACTTTGTGGGCTTTGAGGAAATACTTTAATTTTAATCATAATCTGATGATACCGATTTTTCGAATACTATCTTATTGATTTCCTTTATGTCTGACTAATCATTAACTGTAGTAGAAGGCTACAAATTCAAAATAGTTCTTGTTGCTCATGGTGGGCTCAGTAAAACTTTGTTTTAAAACTATTTTATTTACTTTCCAATTTACTTTAAATTTGAGTTGATATTTAAATTGGTAATATTTTCTATTGATTTTGTTCTACTATTGGCCTATTTTTAGTTGGAATTATCTTCATTATTATAGCATATATCGTCAAATGAATCACCTAATAATGTAAGATTCGAAAACTTCTAGCAATTAGTAGATAATTTGACAATAGAATCTTTACGACCAATCCTATGAATTTCATTATTGCTATTAGTGTGGTTTGCAAAACTATCTAATAAATTATGATCTGTTTTTATTTCTATTTATGATTTTTTTAAGTTAGGATTATCTCTCCTCTTATCCTAATATGCAAGTAGATTTGGCTCACTTATGTTTAAGTTAGCTTTAAGCGTGGATTTACAAGGTTTATTTTTATTTTTGTTATATTTTTAAACATATTTTTTCAAATCCTACTTATAGTCTCTTATACTGTAAACTGTCAGAAATCTGCAGCATTGATATTTTAACAGTTTTTTTAAATGAAGTCTCAAAAGTATCTAAGCAAAGAAAGCTAACCAGTTAATTAAGAAATAGAGATTGTAAAGGAGAATTATGAGAAATAACACTGATAAGATCTAACTGTTTTACTAGACTTCCTCTTGAATAAAAAAGATACCTCCATAAAGTGATAATGTCTAAAGTGATTAAAAAATCTATTAATTACAGCTGCGAAAATTGATTACCTTTCAATTGTATTGAATCGTGGATCAATATATGGCTTCAATCTGTGTATGAATTAAATCTAGACAAAAAGAACAAGAATCCCTAGTAATCCCTAAAATTTGCTTATTTTAATAAAGTTAATTACTTTTATAATTGGACTCATTTATGAGAGCAGGGTGCTGCACATTATAAAGACAATTTTTCTAAAATTAACTAAAAGAATTTCCCAATAGAACTATGAATCATTTAATCCAACGAAAAATAGTCCATATTATTATATAACCTCAGGATCATTAAAGTTCTTCCTATGTCTGAATAGCCTGAAGAAAAATAGAATAGGGAAACCAAAAATCCAAAAAACAATGAAAGGTATGCCAATAAACTATATCATTTAAAGATGCAAGCCTGTCCAACATTCTATATCATAATCAGCTTTTAGAAATGATCTCCCTTCTTCCTCTTCAAATTTCTAGCAACTGAATAAAGAAAATGTCTGGTTTGTTATCATGGGATAGCATATGTAAGAGAACATATAGGTTGTTACATTTATATTTCTCCACAAATTAATTTAAGGTTGTTTTTTAAGATTTTTGTAAATATATATGCCAAACCAAAATGCAGCACCCATACCACTGAAAATAAAAGGCATCAACCCAAAGAAAATAACTTTTAAGTATAGAGTTGGAATTGATAAGCTGGTTGATTGCCTGTACATACAGTCAAGTGAAAATATAGACTAGCTTGTCGTACCAATTATTGAGAAATAGTTTAAAGTATCCTCTACTTATTAAGGCCAGTTAAGATCAAACGATTTTACTATCATAGTTGCATGATAGTAGTTAGTGAAAATCCTTATCAGAACAGTTTACGGCTTATTTCTATGCAAATCACTCAGAACAGAACTAGTTAAAAGAATTATTATTATTGATAAATTCCTCTTACTATTGTAAATAACCCACATAAAAGGCTAATAGAATTAGTACACCTATCAATTTTAATATTTAAAGAGATAAATCTTGGCATTCCACGCATTATGAACTATTTTCTCTTCCATAAATTATTCCACTTAAATTCTTCTCACATATTTGGCAAAGTCTACCTTTGTAACCTACTAAGCATTCAGAATTAAGTCCTCCTCTATAGAAGTGATTATTGAAAAAAATCATACAAACAACTATCACTATTTGGGCATTTATATATTAATGTACTATTGGCTTTAGTTCTCCAATAGCCAGAATCTACTAAAGTTAAATTCTTTCCTTAGCATTTGGCATGGTTGAAGCAGGATTAGCAAAAAAAGTTAGTTGGTTAAAATGAATAGGTTCCTTTCTGACATTCTACACACAAATTATTTTATGTTACTTCTCCCTATATGCATTCTCTAAAATTTACTGTAATGGATAGATCTATATAATATATGAGCTGTGCAAATTTTAGAGTGTTACCTTATAATCTAGTGCCTATTTTCATTAATTTCTAAAATTGTAGAGAATCTGTAATGAATCTTATACTTGAAGTTAAATTTGGTTAAGCTGTCATAGTTATATCCTTAAATGTAAACATTCCGTTTACAGCAGTTGCTTTTGTATTCTAAGAAAGTTGAATTACTTGCATCATTGTAGTTATCTAAGCAATACTTTAATTATCATTATAAACCAACTAGCCATCTTGATCAAATAACCCAACCTAATTATTCAATCAAATTGCAAAATAATATCTTACTATTAGAGGAAAACTCATTTACTAACCACTGACTAAATTTATATCAAGTCTCGAAGTAGTTTAGATATTATCTATACTGCTCATATTTTAAATGTATTTCAGCTAGATTGCAAATGAAGCTTAGTTCTTTCCATATAAAGCTTGATTAAGTGAAAAAATATTTGTTGAAATATTCTTGGGCTAATACAAGTCATAGTATATTGCTCCTCCACATGATTTTGCTGAATTCGAAGTGAACGTATTTTTAAACAAATTGTAAGTGCAAGCTATAGAAGCATTAATGAAATTAAAATTACAATCTCTTCTTAGTGTGGAACAGGATAGGTATAAAGCACCACCACAGTCGCCTAATGCACTATTACCTAGAAAAACTGTATTTTAAATTATTAAATCAATGTTCTTAAGATAAACTGCACCACCACTATTGAATGCTACGTTTGAAGTGAACTAACTGTCTATTATATATATCTATTTTTAGCTAAAGCTTCGGTCATCATCATAAATATATAAAGCAGGACCTGAAAATGATGTAAGATTGCTAAATACGCAACTAACAATTTACAAATTTGATTAATAAGAAATAATTGCGAAACCGATATCGAGATCCTCAGTTTATTCAACATAATAGCTATCCTTAAATAAAGATTAGTTTATCATAATATCACTATTCTCAATGGAAAGCAAATTATAGCTAAAACTTGAAGCTACAAATTGAGATATTTAAACGCTTGAGCTTTAAATTGAAATAACTGCTGCTTCCCCACTGAAGTCTTTATTTGTATTATCTAATGTAGCATCATCCATAAATAATGTAGAACTTTACACAGTAATTAAATTAGTGCTTTCAAAGTGCAAATGACTATCTCTTATATTTAAACCATTAATATAGACTGAACTTTCATAAATCGTAAAAAGAGTTGATATTACATCTATAAAACCAACATTAATCATTGAAATGTTTGAGTGTGATGTAAGATGAAGAAGAGTTTCCTAGCAAGACATATTCTGAAACACTACATTCAGTAGATATACCTCACTCTCTTCAGAATGAAATACCTCTGCTTCCATGCCATTTGTATCTTAATATGTCATTGTATCAATATATAAAATTGATGAAGACCTTAGCATAATGAGAGATATTTAATCTGTGACGACGAGCCCTCCTGTTATTATAACTAAGGCTTTAATAGAGTTAATCTGTGAATTTTCAATGTCTTATTCAAAATTACTATAAAACATAACTTCTTCTTACTTTTAATTTGCCAAAATGTCTACAAAAGCCTTATTTAATCCAGTTTAGCTAGTGATTGATACCTTATTATTTTAAATATCACTGAACATCGAAATCTCATCTAATCCAAATTAATATACAAAGCCATTTTGAGTGATAACCCCACCAGAGATTTAAATATTACTTAAAGAATTGATAGCAAAAACAATAGCAGCTCTTAGCGCATAATTCTTTTAAAATAAGCAATCTTTAAATAACATCTAAGCATCATTTTGAATATATATTACTCCTCCAACAACAGCAAAATTTCTTTCAATTCTACAATAAGAGCAATAAATCTCACTATTTGACTGATAAAAAAATAATCCCCCATTATAGGCATAGTTGCTAGTAAAATTAGTAGCATTAATTCTAGTTATACTATAATCATACTCTGAGAATATTATGGAACCTCTGCCATCAGAATAATTGTCTTGGAATGTTGAGTTGTATATTTCTAAATAAGTGTTTTATCTCTTGTAAATAAGCCCATTACTAGGAGCGAAATTATTCTTAAATTCTGAATTAGTTACTTCTACAACTTAGTTTAGATTTTCTGAATGAACTGTGCTTGGTATCATTTGCATAAACTTCCCAGAATTATTGCAATAAGTCATATTGTTAATCTTCAAGATTTTTGATTTATGCTTAAGATTAAAGAATCTTCCATCAGTGAAAGAGTTATTAAGGATCCTGCTGTTATTTAGAAAAATGCTAAGATTAAAATGCTAAAAATCTTCTATGTTAATAATGTAGCCTTAATGTGAAAGGACTAGATTATGCAAGGTGATATCAATAAGTTCAAGCTTAATCTCATTCAAATTTTGATCATCTAATTAAATACTTTGAAAGTTTATTAGCTGTATGTTTGTGTCTATGATTGTCCAGTTCTAAAATCTATATTGCATCTGCTAGTTTTCATCTTCATAGGGTGAGACTCTTTCGAGCTGAATGAGGTAAGGAATGTGACCTAATAAAATAAAATTATTTTAAAAATGATAATTGGTTTTAAATAGTATTTACTTTAATCTGTTGTGTAAATTTGTTAAAGGATTAGATTTTTAAGTTCAACATTTTAGCATAAGTGGAATTTCATAATAGGATTTTATTTTATTTTCATGTTCCTTATATCTGTATGGGTAAACAGGATATTCTGGCTATTATAACAACTTAGAAAATAAATCGAATCTAGTGTTATTTCGTTCAGTTTGATCTCATTGACAAGTATCCTCTATGAATTATATATCTATAAAATCGAATTCAGATTGCTTCCATCAACTATTAATTAAGGTTAAATCTTTAATATTACCAATACTAAAAACATTGTTAAACACTAGGTTTATTATTGAGGAATCCTCAGACACGACTTTAATAAAGCATGAAATAATAGAATTCGTTAAGTATAGGTCCTCAATAGCAAAATTATTGCCTTATATATTAATCAATTAAGATTCAATTTAAGCGTTTGATATTTAGTCAAATGTGTTATTAATCATATACAGTTCTAAATTTATAAGCCCTGTTTTTTAAATGTTAATTAGCCATCCAGAACTAAATGCAATGTTTTAAAATGTATTATGATTGAAGTTAACTACTTAATATCCTTCTTGTATTAATTTAACCATAAAGCTTATTGAGGACATTAAGATCTGATTAGTATTTACGATAGTGTTATTCGATATGTCTATATGCGATTTTATGCTCTCTTAAACAAAATAGTGTTCAATGTATATTGAGCTATCCGACTTCACCCACTAAACATCCTTAAAAATATTATTTGTGAAGCTAAAGTTAAACTAACTATAAATATCAACAAAGTATTTCAGTCCGGATTCATGGTTCTAACCATAGAATGTATTATTCTAGATTGTGATATTATTTTCTAACCCATCTTGCATGAATAGTTCAATATTTTAATCGTTTGAATGATAAAATAATCTATTGATCTTAGAAACATCAACAATAGAATTTTATAGTTTAAAATTAGCTCCTTCTGTAGTCATAAATATCATCTGCCTTAGAATGAAAGCACAGTTTGAAATGGTGACACCCTTTTGTGGAGACAGTAATGCTAAAATTAATGAATTTGAAATATTGTCTGAAAATTCATATTCTGTAAAATTAAAGCCTTCTATTATTAGATCAGCATAGTAGGTTACAAATTTAAATTTGGCTATATTTTCAAAAGAGGATGGAATTATTCCTTGTAAAATCGCTGATTAGTAGTCATATTTATTAACCAAGTTTGTGGAGTTTGCTATAGTTGGATTGAAATTGCTTGGCTTTCTTTGATAGCTATAGTTATAGACTTAAACTAATGTCAGTTTATTTGGATTACTCGTAAATATTTCATTTTGGTAGGATCTATAGATAAGATTAATTTTCTAAAAATAAAGTTTTCTAAATTTAAAATGGAGAGAAAATTAAATAATAGCGTTGCTTGAAAGTGCAAGCATTTTATCCTTCCAAAAATATTGATTATACAAACCTTATTGTAACTTTTGAATTGGCGAGGACGAGGGGCATCTGCTCTGAGTGGATGGTGAGATTAGAGCCCTGCCGCAGGTAAATGATAAACTCCTCCCCTAGCCAGGATAATTAGTTGAAAATTTCTCGAAAAGGATCGTCTAGCTGCTTGAACGGGTATTCAATTGTTCCCAGTTCTATATTGCTCAAACTTGAGGAAGGATCAACATAATATGATTTGCCTA